ATGAGTGAGTAGTTCAGGACTGTGTGAATGAGCGAGTATGTTCAGGGACTGTGTGAATGAGTGAGTATGTTCACTGTGTGAATGAGTATGTTCAGTGTGAAAGTGAGTATGTTCAGGGACTGTGTGAATGAGTGAGTATGTTCGGGATGTGAGTGAGTATGTTCAGGGAGTGATGTTCAGGGACTGTGTGAATGAGCGAGTATGTTCAGGGACTTGTGAATGAGCGAGTATGTTCAGGGACTGTGGTGAATGAGCGGAGTAATGTTTCAGGGACTGTGTGAATGAGTGAGTATGTCCAAGGGACTGTGTGTGAATGGGTATGTTCAGGGACTGTGTGAATGAGCGATATGTTCAGCGGACTGTGTGAATGAGTGAGTAATGTCAGGGACTGGTGGTATGGAATGTGTATGTTTAGGGACTGTGGTGAATGAGGCGAGTTAGTTCGAGTGTGTGACTGTGGAATGAGTGAGTATGTTCAAGGACTGTGTGAATGAGTGAGTATGTTCAGACTGTTCGGGACTGTGAATGAGTGGAGTATGTTCAGAGACTGGTGTGAATGAGTGAGTATGTTCAGGGACCTGTGAATGAGTGAGTATGTTCAGAGACTGTGGTGATGAGTAAGTTTCCAGGGATGTTCAGGGACTGTGTGAATGAGTGAGTATGTTCAGGGACTGTGTGAATGAGTGAGTATGTTCAGGGACTGTGTGAATGAGTGAGTAGGTTCAGACTGGGATTGAATGATATGTTCAGGGTGTAGGAATAAGAGTAAGCTCAGGAATTATGAGTATGTTCAAGTATATGAATAGTGAGTGATGTTCAGGGAGAGATGGAGTAGGATGTGAATAAGTGAGGATGTTCAGTGAACGTGATGTGAGGAAATAAGTGAGTGAGAGATGTGAATAAATAAGTTCAGGGAGAGGGACGTGGAGGAAATAAGTAAGGGAGAGGAAGAAGGAAGAAAAGAGGTTGGGAGGAAATAGAGCCAGAAGGAGGAGGAGGAGAGAGAGAGAGAGAGAGAGGAGAGAGAGAGAGAAGAGAGAGAGAGAGAGAGAAGAGAGAGAGAGAAAGAGCAAAGAGAGAGAAAAGACAGAGTTAAAAATGGTGAAAGGGAGAGATAAAGATAGGAGAGGGAGACAGAGAGAGAGAGACAGACAGACAGACAGAGAAGAAAGAGACAGAATGAGAACGAGTGACATAAAAAGAATCTTTTACATAATGTATCTTTGTCATTAGTATGTTATGCCTAGATTTGTGCGTGTGTTCATACGTACGTGAATCCGAAGAGCATCTCGACTCATCTCATCTTGAACCGTATTCATGTTGACAAATGTAGAAAAAGTTACGAACGAGAATTAATATCTTCACAATACAAGAAATGTATTTGATCAGTTAGAATAATCTTCGTCAGAAATACAAGAATGTATTTGATCAGTTTCGAAAACATCTTCGTCAGGAATACAAGAATGTATTTGATCATTTCGCTTTCGTCAGGAATACAAGAGATGTATTCGACCGGTTTCGAATATACCTCTTATATACATGTATTCTGACGAAGTTGTCTTCGAAACCGGCCAAATACATCTCTTGTATTTCTGACGAAGTTGTCTTCGAAACCGGCCAAATACATCTCTTGTATTGTGAAGATATAGATACTCATGAATACCTTCCTTCATCTCATTTTCTGTCCTCAGCATCCCTTTCGTGGTGGTGATGTCACTGGTGGTCCTGGCATGGCAAGGGACATGGCACACGCTGCTGGCACTCGGCTACGGTAATGTAAGTAGAAGGAGAAGGGGGAGATAAGTGAAAAAGGACGAAGGGGGGAAGGAGGTAAAAATGAGGGAGGAAGGAGGAAAAGATAAAAAAGGAGGAGGAAGAAGGAGGAGGAAGGGAGATAAGATGAGAGGAGGAAGAGGATAGAATGAGGGAGGAAGGAGGAAGGAGATAAGAATGAGGGAGGAAAGAGAAGGAATAATGAGGGAGGAAGGAGGAAGGAGGAAAGAATGAAGGAGGGAAGGAGATAAAAATGAGGGAGGAAGGAGGGAAGGAGATAAGAATGAGGGAGGAAGGAGGGAAGGAGATAAAATGAGGAGGAAAAGAGATAAGAATGAGGGAGGAAGGAAGGAAGGAGAAAGGAAGGAAGGGGATATAGATGTCTCGATGATGTCAGTAGGAGGAGAGGAGGAGATAAAAGAAAAAGGAGGAAGGAGGGAAGGAGTAAAGAGTGAAGGAAGAAGGGAAAGAGAGAAGGAGGGAAGGAGAGACTAAGAATAAAGAAGGAAGGGACGGAGATAAGAATGAGAGAAGAAAGAAAAGAAAAGGAGATATGAATAATAATAGGAGAAAAATGGAATAAGAAAGAAAGGGAATAAGGATAAGAATATAAAGGAAAGTTAAGGAGTGAGGGAGGTAATAATACAAAGGAGAAAAGAGAGAATGAAGAAGAAGGACGGAGACAAGAATAAAGTCGAAGGAAGGAAGGAGAAGAATAAAGAACGAGAGAAGGGGAGAGAGGAGGAAGAGGAAAGGGAAATAAAGATAATAGAAGATCGAGAATACATAGAAAGGGCAAAGAAATGGGAACTAAAGGAAGGGAGATAGATTACATATAAAAACAATAAGCGAAAGAGAGAATTGAAGAAAAGAGAGAAAACAAAATTGAAAAAATATATATACAAATAAAATGACGAAATAATATGTAAATAAAGCACAAGACTTATGAAAAAAGTGTATATATAAAATTTAAAAAAGAGGGAAATAATAAATTAGGAAAGAATGTGATAAAAATGAATAAAAACGAAACCTTCGTTTGAAAGTTTTTTTCTTTGATAAAATAGGGATGAATGATAATAAAAAAATGAATTTGCAAAATTTCCTTTCAAGGTAAAGAATTCTAAAATGAAGAAATAAGATCTATTTTTATTCGAAATAACTTTTTTGATGTATATGTTATCGACTAATTGAATTCATTTGAAATTACCTTTGTTGTTTCTTATATTTGTGTCTTGTTCATTGTTTTTGTTCATTTGTTCACTATTGATAAAAATACTCTAGAAGTCGTTACTACTTGTTTATCTGTTCATTACTGATGTAAGATTGTACTAATGTTTTGTTCACTTGTTCATCAGTAGTGATGAAAAATGTACTAAGGCCATGTTCACTTGTTCAATAGTAAAGAAAATGTACTAAAGCCAAGCTCACTAGTTCAGTTGTGAAGAAAAATGTACTAAGCCCATGTTCACTTGTTCAGTAGTGAAGAAAAATGTACTAAGGCATTGTGAAGAAAAATGTACTAAGCCCATGTTCACTTGTTCAGTAGTGAAGAAAAATGTACTAAGCCCATGTTCATTTGTTCAATAGTAAAGAAAATGTACTATTGCCAAGGTTCAGTTGTGAAGGAAATGTACTAAGCCATTCACTTGCAGTAGTAAGAAAATGTACTAAGCTCATGTTCACTGTTCAGTAGAAAAAAATGTACTAAGTGTTCACTTGTTCACAATTACTAAGTTCAGTGAAGAAAAATGTACTAAGCCCATGTTCACTGTTCAGTAGTGAAGAAAATGTACTAAAGCCAACTCCTAGTTCAATGTGTAAGAAAATGTACTAAGCCCATGTTCACTTGTTCAGTGGTAAGGAAAATGTACTAAGCCCATGTTCACTTGTTCAGTAGTGAAGAAAAACGTACTAAAGCCAAACTCGCTAGTTCACTTGTGATGAAAAATGTACTAAGCCCATGTTCACTAGTTCAGTAGTAACGAAAAATGTACTAAGGCCATGTTCATTTGTTCAGTGCTGTTCTTCTATTCTTTAGGGAGATCACATTCAAGACAGGAGAAACTTTATAGAATTCGCTCAAAAGAAACAGCTCGTTTACACAGTCCGTGGCGCTATGTAAGTATGGGGTTGCGTTATGTAAGTATTCCTGCTATGTAAGTATTCGGTTGGGCTATGTAAGTAACGTTGGGTATTCTTTGTCTTATGTAAGTATTCCGTAAAGTATGGTTTGTCGTATTCCGTTACGCTGTGTAAGTATAGGTTTGTCTTATGTAAGTATTCCGTTACGCTGTGTAAGTATAGGTTTGTCTTATGTAAGTATTCCATGACGTTGTGTAAGTATTCTGTTTCGCTATGTAAGTACTGTATTGCGTTATGTACGTATTATTTTGTCTTGTGCAAGTATTTTTTTGCTTTCCAGGAATATTGTTTTAGGTTATTTAAGGATTCAATTTCGGTATGTAAGTATTGTCTTGCGCTATGTAAGTATCCCGTTTCGTTATGTAAGTATTCCGTTACGTACATAAATTGCGTTATGTACGTAATGGTTTGTATAAGTATTCCTCTGAAGTATATTTTTTCCTCTGAGTATATTTTCATTAAATTGTAAGTACTTTTGATAGGTACAGGTATAATTTTGACTGAATGACAGTTAGAGCATGAGGTATATGTTTATATCTGTCTCTCTCTCTCTGTCTCTCTCTCTCTCTGTTTCTGTCTCTCCTCTCTTGTTTCTGTTTCTGTCTGTCTGTGTCTCTCTCTCTCTCTCTCTCTCTCTCTCTCTCTCTCTCATCTCTCTCTCTCTCTCTCTCTCTCTCTTCTCTCTCTTCTCTCTCTCTCTCTCTCTCTCTCTCTCTCTCTCTCTCTCTCTCTCTCTCTCTCTCTCTCTCTCTCTCTCTCTCTCTGCTCTCTCTGTTTCTCTCTGTCTCTCTCTCTCTCTCTCTCTCTCTCCTCTCTCTTCTCTCTCTCTCTCTCTCTCTCTCTCTCTCTCTCTCTCTCCTCTCTCTCTCTCTCTCTCCTCTCTCTCTCTCTCTCTCTCTCTCTCTCTCTCTCTCTCTCTCTCTCTCTCTCTCTCTCTATTTATTTATTTATCCTTTCTCCCTGACCAGATATGCCCCGACATACCCGGACCCGACAGCCACCACTTCGAACTCCTGCTCCACCTCGAAGCAGATACCCCCCTCGTACTCGGTGGTGGCCTACGAGAGCGAGTTCGACTCCGACCT